CAGTTCAATAAACAAGAAGTTAATATTAAGTGACTTATATTGTCTGACAACAACACAATTGCCTTATTTTGCTCTACTTCGTCAACGAAAATAGTTTTTTTTTTAAGTAACAGCTGAGCCGCTGCGCATCTCCATTCAAACACAGTGGTGTTTCGTTTATGAATGAACTGCGTTTTTAAACGAATCTAGTGAGTCAATGATTCATGATTACCCATTCATAAAGACAGTCACGTACTTCGTTCGTGAATGAATCAGCCGTTCGAACGAATCAATTGAATGAATGATTCAGTGATAAAATCAGTAACTTGCCGCCACCTAATGGAAACGTCTGAAAATACACATACAAGCCACTTGTGTGTTCTTCTGTAGCACAAATTTATTTCTTAAATACTGATTCACTTGATTGGTAACTTATTCTTATTCTACTTTTTATTCTACTTGTTTTTATTCTGTTGTTTTCATTAGAAATGTTAAAAAGCTTATAAATATATTTTTTTGAATTTGACATAAAAGATGACATACTTTTAATAAAGTTAGAAAAATGCCATTACAAAGGTAAAAACTAAATTCCCTGTAAATCACTTCAAGGAGTCAAATATCACCTCGTAATGGGAAGGTTAATTTTTTATCAGAATTTTTGATTACTGATTAGAAGGTGCTCCTAAATTTTTGACTGTGCTCCTAAATTTTTTAAATTAGGAGCACAAGCGCTCCTAAAAAGAAAAGTAAGCGTAGAGCCCCTGAGTAAGGGAGAGGAGATGGACCGCTTGTAGAAAAATGATTAGGAGAAATTGGCTGTTGTAATGGAAGTCCTGCCTTTCAGTTTAAACAGCCAGTTGCCTTTTTCATAGATGTAAATTACTGTAGAACTTGCAAGTGCATGAATAGGAAATAGCTCAAACTTGTCATCATTGACGAGAAATAAATTAAATATAAATATTAGATGAAAAAAAGATAACTGAAATAAAATGTGTTTTAGATGAAGTACTAAAATAACAATCTAAATCTGAAAAAATAAATACTAATATACAAAAATAATTAAAAATGATGAAAACGCATAGCAAATTTACTTAAACTAAAATTAAAATTAAAACTGAAAATATACTAAATATACTAAAAATATACTAAAATACTTTAGTATATATAATAGTATCTTAAAACAACACTTTTCACAATATGGACTGAATACTAAATCATGATGTTGCTTTTCATCTTCCAGTTAATTAAATAAATAATAAATTGTTTGATAATAAATAAAAAAATATATTAATTTGATTTTACTAAATACATTTAATAAAATAAATAAATACATAATTAAATAGCACATCTAACCTGGGTTATTATTAACTAAAACTAAAACCATTAAATCGTATATTATTTATATATTAAACTGATTTCAGCTAGTTATAAAAGTTAAAGTACAAAAATATCTAAAACTTAAAAACTATGTAGATATATTTTTTAAAAACTTAAAAAAATGACAAAAACTAAATTACTAAAACTTTAACTAAACTGTCAATGTCAAAATATTAACAAAAACTATAATAGTAATGATATTAAAATAACACTGCATTTAACAATACAGTACTTTAATTTATTTTACGTTTGTTTGTTTCATTTAGCGAGTAGCATTCTATTAACATCTTCCAGTTAATAAAACAATAATGAAAATAATAAGTGGCATCCAGTTAATACAAAATTATATATATATATACATGAAGAGTTCAATCATGTTTTTTTTTATTTTTTATTGCGCATTCCAAGTAATATCAATCAAACTGCAGTTGGGTTGTTTTGATTAAGTAATAATAACTAATAACTATACAGGTAATTTACAAAAATAAAGTTCATTGAAAGTATTTTTTTTTTACATATTAAAAGTTTGTTTTATAGCAAAAGCAGATAACTCCACATTTCATGTTGTAGAGTTTAAAAAAACACTGGTTTAATCTTTGTAATCTCCTCAGATGATAATGTAGACGCCTGACAAACGTTGTTGTTGTTGTGATCATAAACTGTATGGATGTGATTACACGCAATACACGGAGCTTTTCCCTCATCGTTGTAACGCACTGCTTTTGCAAGCTTCCGTGAAAACCTTTCAGCATTTATTTTCCTTTTTCACCCTGAAGAAGATATCACAGGTTCATCAAGTTCGTCGAAATGATCCTCGATCACTTTTAGTCAGCTTAGATGAAACTCCTCTCAGCTAGCACGTCTTTTCAAAGTGAAAGTAGCCTTGTCACCTGACCTGAATGCAGCGCGCTGATTCGCTGAAATGGATTTATCTTTAGGGTTTAGATCGCGCTATATGTGGAGAATAATGCACTGCATTTAGCGTTTATCGGTTGGCGTTTATCGGTTTTTGCAAATGAGCTCTTCATATATATATATATATATATATATCATCAAAGACAAATGTGATTGGTCCACCCTAAAGTGTCATGTGACAATTATATCTATGTGCTTTAGCAGCGAGCTGGATGATAATTTACATCTGAACAATGACACTGAGAAACATTAATAGGCACTGCATTGATTGAGTTGAGTGTTTCATGATCATGTCTCTGTGTTTGTGTCTCTGCAGCAGCTGGATCCTCCTCAGAGAGATCAGCTGATCGGTGCCTTGAGTTCAGTCACTCAGCAGTTACGCAGACTCACAGACATCAGCTGGCTCAGTCAGCTCATCGACCCGGCCGACGACGAGGTGCGTGACATCCAGCTGTTTTTGGGATGTTTTGGTGAGTGTGTTCCAGTCTAACGTGTGTTTGCGCGCAGGGTCAGCTGTCTGATTTCTCCAAGCGCAGTCGTAGCGCTAAATTCCGCCTCGTGCCCAAATTCAAGAAAGACAAAAACAACAAAAACAAGGAGACGTGCGCCGCCCTCAACATGCCAGGTATGACCTGACCTTTGACCTCTGACCTCTGACCTCGTGCATGAGTGTAACACACGCGTGTGCTGTGTGAGCAGTGAATACGTGGGGTGTGGATGAAGTGGCCGTCTGGCTGGAGATGCTCTGTCTGGCTGAGTATAAGGATATCTTCATCAGACATGATATCAGAGGACCAGAGCTGCTTCAGCTGGAGAGGAGAGACCTGAAGGTATTAGCGCTCAACCTCTGGCAAATACCATGAAAGATGCACACGTTTAGATGCATGTCTTGGATTGTGATCCAGGAGTTTTCCAAGGAGGCTGCAAGGGGTTCGTGGAAAACAGCCTACAGAATAACAGTGTAAAAAATGTCTAAATACTAAAGATAAGATTAAACTTTTTAAATTTGATTAATAATATTTGATATAAATAGCAAACAAGCAAATACATAAATTTAATTTACGATAAAAAGATAAATAAATAATTGATTAAAATAACAATTGTGGTTTAAATAAACAATAAATAAATTTGGTTTAAAATAAAAAAATAAATAATTGGTTAAAATAATATATAAATGAATACAATTTGTTTTAAATAGACAAGAATTACATTTGAATTAAAAAGTATTAATTTGATTTAAATAACGAAATTGATTAAAATAAATAAATAAATTTTTTTTAAAAACTAATAAATACATTTGAGTAAAATAAAAAAGAAATAATTGATTATAATAAATAAGATTTGTTAAAATAAAATGTTTTTTTGTTAAAACATTTTAAATAAATTTTAAATATTAATTTGATTTAAATAAAGAAAGTGATTAAAACAAGTAAATAAAATTAGATTTAAGTAAATAACATCTAAACAGGGTTATTATAATTAACTAAAACTGAAAAGAAGAAAATTCATTACTTGAAATAAAATAAGCATTAACTGAAATAAAGTAAAAAAAAAGTAAAAGCTGACATAGTATTTTGTGTTTGGTTTAAATTGAAGTACTAAAATAACAAACTAAATAAACTAAAACCTAAAACTCTAGACAAAAACTAATAAAAAAGACAAAAACACACAATAGAACTCTTGAACTAAAATTAAAGTGAAAACAGAAAATATAAAATAAAATCTAATTTAAAATATGAACAAAAACTGTAGTTGTAAATGAATAACACTGCATTTAACAGTATAATACTGTAGTGAGTAAAAAATAATGATGAAACATAATAGACACTTGTATTGGTGTTTTTTCACAGTATTAATGAGGTCTTTACACATGAAAAGATATAACTGCCTTTTAAATTTTAGTATGGGGTCCCTGGCACGAGGATGATCATATTTGATCTGTATACTATGTTGTGTACAGAGCGAAGTGTGTACTATTTGAGTCAAGAACTACAGACTTAAAGCATCTTGTGTGTGTGTGTGTGTGTGTGTCTGTGTGTCTGTGTCTGTGTCT